TACCTTTCATTCGCGCGGGAGTACGTTCTCATATTTTTCGTAGAAAATCGAGATCAATATTCGAGTCTTTCATATCAAACACCTCGAACGGAATTTACGTGTAAATTATGATCGTATATTTCAAGTAAATTCATAAAAATTTTAATAAAGGAACAGTGGCAAAGTGGGAGAGCGTGATATATGATCTCGTATCTATTGAAAACTTTTCTTAAAAATACAATTGCTACGATCTGACCTTTTTCTCTCATATAACGTCGTTCCGATTCGATATTCGAACCGGTTGATTTATTAAGTCTATTAAGAAACTGCGAAATTGTTTTGACCGATAGGAAATGACTAGGGTGGGACAAATGAACGTTCGTAACGTTGAGGGTAGCGCAACGCCTCGTGTTTTACTCGATTGCAGGGGCGGAAATCTGCGATGGCATCAGAAGTTTCTTGTACTTCTGTTATAGCAGGTACTATAAAGCAAAGTCACCCGGGCACAAGCTACAAATTAGTCATAATGATTTGGTTTCGCGAATATTAATCATTTCTTAGATCGTTAGAATAGACGTTCATTCATTTTGTCCGTTTATTCTAATAACTCTTCTCTAACTTTAACACTTGCACGATGCTTCCAAGACGCTTAAATATTAGAATATGCAAATGTCTACATAAATTTTGCTTTAGTTTCCTGTCATTTATTTGGATCTAGAAATTAGAATGCATTGCAAATGAAAGTAGAAATGTTTTGAATTATATATGTAATATACTGTCCACACACAGAATACTTAGAATTCACACTGAGGTTCTACTATACATTTATCGTTTTTTCATACTAAAACATTAATAAAAGGTGCATCTTGTTAAGTTAAATTAAAAAATGAGAATTTTAATTAGTAACGAGAGAATTTTAATTTTACGAACAGTTTTACATTCCTTCGAACTAATCAACCATAAGACGTGTTAGGTTATTTTCCATGATTATGATATGACCTTCCGGCCATTTTCAACAGCATTCAGTAACTATCAATATTTGAGGGAAAAACGTTGCAGGAAATCACGGAAATCTATTATTCTCCGGTTCGATTTCGAAAGGGAAGCCGGTTTCACTACTCTCGAAATCAGATTACGAGAATTTATAGGGTCACTCACGAGCCCCCGAACCTCGGGTCGTTCCCGCGAGATCCACAGAAAACGTACACAATTAAACTGCCTTAGGGCTTCCGTTAGTACATCGTATCAGCTTTAACTGTAGTGCGATCATTTTCACGTTTATGGGAATTTAAAGAGTAAACCGATACGTAATTACTGGAATACGATCCCTCTACAACATCAGTTGAACAACGCTTTCGTAAATTTTGCAGCATTGGGTATTGTTAGAAGCTAGTTATACAAATAATTCCAAAACAATTGTAATTTGGCGAAGGTTTCGTTGTTACACTTACCCGCGATCGAATGTTGAACACAATCGAATTCATTATGAAAGTTTTTATCGCAGAGAAATGTGGTTCGTACATGTTTGCAGTAAACGTTTTGTAACTAATGTTTCAGGATTGATTCCAAATATCAATGTAATTAGGACAGTCGTGTCTCATTACAATGTCAACGGTATTGCAAAAAGTTTCGTATAATGCACGCAACATGTTCTATTAAAAATAAAAATTTTCTTTCCATCATAAACGTTCGAATGCTTCGCCTGCTTTCTCAAAAAATTGACCATGAGCAAGAGGGCATGTGCGAACCATCTTCCACTCGACGAATCGAAAAACATATTTTCTCTCTCGAGTGTGCTTCAAAGTAGAAACAGAACGATATATACGAAAAATCCGCGAACAGAGCATACCAGTTTCTCGGGAGAGCGATAACGAAGAACCGAGGGAGCAGCTGCTAAAATCATCCGTCAGAAGCCGTTCGATTGATAGACTCGACGGGCATGAAATATTTAAACCGCTTAGCAAAGCTTCCACGTCGTTTTTCGGCTTAAACGTACTCGTACTGTACGTTCCGCCGCGGCTCGCGCGCAGAGGAGGAGAAATAATTACAAAGTTACCGCGGGCCGACCGAAGGAAAGTTTTCCTGATACACACGGTGTAGACTGGAATATCGTTTCCATCAGACGGATTGCTATCGTCCGTGTCGGAAGGGTCTTTCGAGTCGTAAAGCGGGTCCAAGTGCTCTTTACATGCATATTGCCTTTCCTCGAAGAGCAGCGTGCTACGCTCTGCGAACCGTTTGTCCGTTTGTTGAAGCGGCCTCGAGGATCCCGATGCTCGATGCTCCGCGACGCGCCGACCCAGCCGTACGAGGACTCTTCAAATTTTATGCCACATTTAACCTCTGATCGATTTTCTTCTCGTGAGGAGAAGATCTCGTGAAGAGAGAAGAAACCATCCGCCGAGGGGAGAGCTCGGTTGGACCCAGGGAAAGAGTGGCAAACGACGGAAAAAACAACGTTACACGTGACGCAGCTCACGGCCGAAAATGATGTTGCAGTTTTTTACGACGCGGTTGCCAGCGTCGACGATCATTCTTCCATCTCTTGGCCTTATCTTGTCACCGACTGAATATTCAAAAGGCTGCAGCCAGAAGATAGCCATTATCGCCCGGGCTTTCGAAGTTTCATGGCGACGAAATGAACTCCTCGATGACGGCCAACGGAGAATTAGCGTCTGCTGGGAAAATGAAGATTAGAGAAGTTAAAGTGGCGGATCCATTGAGCTATTTCCTAAGTCGTCGTAATATCAGAATGATGAATCGACCTTGTACAAAGCTTTGTAAACTTCCTCAATTCCGTTTCCTCGATTCAAGAAAAGTGTAGTTCAAGACGGTAATACGAGGAAGGATCTTTGAATCGAATTCAGTAATTTGTCTCATAATTCGCTTAATGATTCCTTTTTCAAGCAATCTGTGTTTGAAAACGGACTATTTAACACTAAACGTACCAAGCGGGGTCAAATGATCCGCTTTTCAAAATTTACTTTAAAATCGTACATTCGTTGTTATTTCTTTCGCTAATCTAACTTTTTTTAAATTCTTATATTATCTGATTATTCAATTTCTCGTTTTCTGTTTATCTCTTAGCTTATTTTTTTACCGAGAAAAATTCTTTGCATACCTTATATACCGCGAGGGGTCATTTGACCCCTTATGGTAAGATAGGTATATATAAAATGCCGGTACGTTTAGTGTTAAACTCGTAATTAGTGGTGCAACACAGTACTGCGAAATATATCATGCATTGATATTTCCAGAATGTAACTTTTAGCTAAACGGAAAGGAAAGTTCGTCCAATTAGTTCAACTGTTCTCGGTATAATTCTGAAAATTATTTTGTTGTTCATTGTTTTAATTCTTCTCTGATAGCTCCACGCTGTGATGGAATAACTCAATCACAGAATTGTCCAAATTATTCTTCGTGTTTGATACTTTTAAAATCAATACATTACTTAATATTAAAAACCAATTATGTCGAGATTAAGTTTAAAGATTCGAAGCTTACAGATGTCTCAAGTAATCCCGCTTTACTTTACATTGCATTTTCTACTCGTGTATTTTCATCATTTGTTCACGATATAATGCCGCACGGCGGCACGTCTCATACATCTTGGTGATGAGAAACATTAAATATGCAGATAAAAATGTTCAAAACGGGTGGGGACGGGATGGGGGAGGGGAACGAGTTACGGTAGGAATGACAATAACGATACGAGTTGCAACAATGAAAAATAGAACGAATCGCGGTACTTTTTGTTAACCGAACGTGTGATACAGCCATAAAGCGAGCAAGGATAACAAGTAGCTCGTGATTAATGTTTTTGCAGGAGGTCGTTCATGGGGATGAGCCCATGGGGAGCTTTCACTGTTTTGTGCCAGCTATTTGCCACTCGGTTTCGTGCCGTAACATTGCGACAGGTAGGGTGTCCACATCGGAATCCGTTGCTCTGGATATCAGACCGATTTAACTGAAGTGTCTCGGACTGACTGACTCGCATTTTTTAAGAGCTATCGTAAGAGGGCCGGATCGCAATAAAAGAAAGAGACTCGAATTGGCCAGGATTTTATCGTTCGTTTCCAAGCGTTAGCTTCAGATTGCCATCGTTACAGTCAGTTAGCGTAATGCCGATGGGAATTGAGGCGCGGATAAAGCTATTCAGAAGAGGTTTTGCATTATTTTTCACGTCTGTTTCACTCAAGCTTCCGGGAGAAGTGCAAAAATAGATTACGAAAAGTTTAAGGATGTGCATATAAATACAGCGACGAAAATAATAATTTTAATAAATATGGTGCAAATCTTTTTGAATTATTTAACATTCGTAAAATTATGAATTTTATTTATAAATTCTCGTACATACATATACATACGTTTTATAACTGATAAATGTTATCTCTTTACCAGGAATATTTATTACGCGTGTATATTACGCGAACAAAAAGCTATAGTTGCCGAAGTATTCTACAAAGTTTCACAAACGAACAACAATGATGCACACATAGGAGATCGGTGTTAAATAGTTTTATCTGCCGGTTGTACGAGCGTGAAACGCAACATCGGGTCTAGTGTTTATTCGTAATCGTAAAGTTTCGTTCGTGCACGACGTTGAAAGTTGTCGGCGATGCTAATTGGAAGTGGTTAGCTCGCCAGCCAACCCTATTTCGCACTGTGCCACCCCCAAGTTTTCTGCGATTTATGGGTTCATGGTGAAACGGTACGAGTAAGCTGAAGTCGAGACCAGAGACAGAAGACACACAAGATTCTGAATTAAACGTCAACCACACGACAAGACGCCAAACTAACGCCGTACACACACAGACGCCTCGGTATCCTCGACTTTGTTGATGATTTTCACCGCCTATCTGCATAATAATTTACAGAATATAAATACTGTGCGTGTACTCTGAGCGTGCGTTCCACACTCTTGTTATCTTACGAAAGTAAGTCTTCGTTCTTTCATCGACTGTGTCTGCGTGGACCGATAGGAGTAATTCAGAATCTTAACAAAAACGATACGTTACGATATTTTAGACAGCTATAGGTATGTAAAAACGTACGAAACGCGCAAACGTCGATGACGTTTCTCCATGTAAGAGAGAAACTCTGTTGTCAAAAATCTCGTAGAATTCCTCCTTGACTAATGATCGACAAGTCTGTCAGAATTCAGAAAAAGACACGTGATTCAAAAGAATTTTATCATCTGCAGAAGGGCCCGAAATTGGCTGGTTCCCTATCGTTCTGCTGCTTATACGTTGCTCGTAAAATCCAACATCTTCCTACGGACGCTGAAACCGATTTTCACTTTGCATTCAAACGACTATGAATATTCAGAGGCGCGGCTCTTATTTCGTGTTCATAGAGTGGAGAGCAAAGGCGTGGAAGGGAAGGCGAGGCAACGGCGGAAAAACCGAGCGGTGTAAAAAGTTTGAACGCGGCACCGGGCGGGTTGGACGGATTTTACGAGCGGATCGTGGTTGCTTGAAAACCACGCACCGGTTACAGACAGAACTGTCTTTTCGTTTGTTAACGCAGGCCGGCGTCGATGCTAAATTACCAGGTTGGATAGCGGTTGGAGGTGTAATGTACCGTTGCTAAGTACCATTGCATTAGTGAGGATGCACAGTACACCGTGTAGGATTGTTATCGTTTTAACAGCAAGGCTAACGGTACCGGTAAATCTCGTTGCGTAGAGCGCGGCAACGGACACATTTATCTGGGCGTGTAGTGGCCGCAACGTTCGTACGGCGCGATCAGTTTTAACGCGATCACGCGTCGTTTACACGGCGAGACAAACTCGACCGATTAACGGGCCAGATATTGAAATATCTCGGCGTGGTGCGCGACAGGAAGAATATGTCGGCCAAGAATGGACGGGGGAGTGGGAACAAAGTCGTACGAAAAAAGTAATTCATCGATATTTCGCTATTGGCGACAGTCCAGCGGCAGATAGAACGAAGAGACACGAAACGGAAGCTATTCTACTCTTTTCCGGCTTGATATGGCCCGATAGTTACCATCCCGGAGGACGCTGCTGTACCGAAAATTCATTTCGAAGACAATACCAAACGGTCGTATTTCACGACTGACAAAGAGATAGAATATAACGAAGGGAGGAAGAACGGGAGGCAAGCAGAGCTATTACGCATATATTTTTTTCTGCCAACCTCCAATATTTGTCCTGACTCTCGAGGCACGGAGAAAGAGATGGACCAACGGTCCATCATGAGATCCAGCCACGCAAGCCGATGATCGATATCTGTAATCTCGGGGCGTTCGCACCTGTATTTCAGCTCTGTCCCTTTCCCTCTCCCCCTCGCCCCTCCCCAGACACTAGCCGCCGCGCCGGTATTAACCGTAGAAATGGGAAAATTCGGTGTTACCAGCTATTACGTTAACGACCGCGCGAACGCATTGCTCCGCCGCGCCGGTTCTCTAATGGGTACACATTGCCCTCGCGTGTCAGAGTAATAACGACTCTTTCGCGGCTGTTTTTCCGGACATGGAAATCACGCCGGGCCGATAGCCTCGGCGATATATTTTCAGTCGTCGATGTCGCTGCCGATCCCGATCCCGATCCCGATCACGATCCCGACTGCCGCTTCTGTTCGGGTAATCGTCGGCTGATTCCCAATCTCAATAAAGCCAGTAATAGACCAGTTACAACCTAACAGGCTCTTCCCATGCCCGTACCCGCGCCGAGAGCGACTCACCGACCGGTTTCCCTCTTCTCTCTATCCTCCACGGTTCCACCGAAATATTTGGCCGACGCAGCTTAACCCGGCAACGACGGGGGCTTGCATGCGCACCCCACCGGACTAGAAGCGCGTTCGAGCGTGAAAGCTCCGGCGAAAAATGCGATGCGCCGCCGTGAATTTGTAAAACGGTCTCGTCGCTTTTCGCGGAGAGCCGAGAAACGTGAAAACTGCACTGCACTGCCTCGCGCCGCGCTACCTTTTCCCCCCTCTTTCTCTTTTTTCTTTTTTTTTCTTTTT